TTTGTTTCGCGCAGGGCCATCAATCAAGGCCCTCTGCGACTCGCTATCGCTAATGAACAGCGATAAGGGCGGCACCGCGGTCGCCCTCGCTCTGTCTGTCTTATCTTTGTCGCTCTTTGCTGTTTTTTTGAAAGGGAAAACGGCAGATAGCAGGACGAGTAGCAATGCAATGGTGGCGCTTGAAGGTTTTTCGATAGGGATACTGCACAAATGAAACAGCAAGGGATATTTTTTTCATATACTTATTTGAGAATAGTAATTATTTTAAATGGCTGGTAGATATCTTCGAACGACATGGACGTTAGGCATCGGATAACTTCGCAAGACGTTCTAAAATATATAGGGTGATTCATGGCAATGGTACGTTAGACAGAATAGACAGAATATACACAGATGCATGAGCAATACATTTATTTTTATTACATTGTATTAAAAAAGTGTATAATAGTTATTTTTCACGACCGAAAATATGAATGAATGAATTAATTTCGGAAGACGAGAATGCAATTTTATCGTCGTGTATAAAACAATATTTTTTCCATAGCGAGTTACGTTTTAAAAAATATTCAGAAATTATTATTTCAAGGAATTTATTACGAGTAGAAAAAATATTGTGCTGGGTTGGCGTTGGTTTCTATGTAATTTGACAAATAAATAAAGCTGTCTCTTTAGTTGTCAGTTTTGAGTCAATATTTTTAATTCTCTTTCGTGTCGATTGCTGATTGAATTGGAGCCAGAAATGGCTCAAAACGAAATAAGTAAATTACCAACAGATATTCAGGATGAGGTGACAAACTCCATATCCAAACTACTTCCATTTAAATCCCGAATAACTTATGAAAAGGAATACAAAAATTTTCCTTACATATTTCGGGTAATGTCAATTGCACCATAAAAATTTGCATGAATACAAATAATAATGATGATTCTTTGTAATTTGAATATAGTTAAAATACAGGATTGCAGAATAAAGTTTTTAACGTATCCTAGCTGTTATAAAAATTCCATCGCCGGTTCTCCAAAAACCTCTAATGTACCATAGCCCTGATGTGGCACTCTGTATTCTATTCTTACTCCTTACCGATGTGTTGTAATTCTATCCTACACCACTGATGATATAGAGACATCGAAAGACCAAGAAAAGAAAGAAAACAAGACAGAAGAAGAAGAAAAAGCCAGAAGAAAAGAGGGAGAGGATTTCTTTTCTTTCTCCCACCGCTCTCCGATAATGATAAGAACGCGGACGTTGCAAACGAGCAGTTTTTAATTAAAAATTTAAATGAATTTCGGGGGCGACGCCGATGTTCTTGCGTCGTAAGTCGTTAAGCGGGACCTAACATGCGTAAAACGGCATTAGCCCTAATTTAGTGCGCGCCGACTCTGTCTTAATTACTGGGCGAAATGAAATTTGCCCGCTTTTTATCGCCACTCCTGCCTAATTTGTGCCCAATAAAAAACGTTTATTTTCTTAAGCAAAACCCGTATAATCGTAAATTATTGCAATTAAGAAAATACACGGAAAACGGTCGCATTTTGATTTCTGCTTTGCGCTATTTTGTAGCTGGGATATCAGTAAAAAAAATTATAGAGAAGTATTAATTTTTGCGACGTGATTGACAATTTAATACTTTTGATTTAAAAATATGGTAAAGGCTTCTTGTTATAAAATAAATCTGTTATAACCAAACTTAGCATTTATTCAATAAAACAAAATAAAAACAATTATTATTATTAAAAAAATTGTAAAAACAAAACCAATAAACAAACAAAGCAAGTCAAACTGGCTTTTTTGACTTGGAATAAAAAAGTTTTGTACTAATTTCTGCGAAGGGCATATCTTTTTCATCTTCAATCTCCGAGTATTGTATCTCCGTTTCCAAGTCACTCACTTCAACTCCCTTGACACTGTTCGTCTCTGGAAAGCTACAGCCTGAGAGTGTATCCAATTCCATTTCCTCCTCCTCTAACGTGGCATTATCCAACTCCCCTCCATCCAAAAATTAAAAATTAACAACAAAAAACATTAGAAATTGTCAATATATACCTACCCTTTTTTGATTCGTGAAGATGTCAAATTATTGCCCTCTTCATCTAGCTCCAGAAACCTGAAATTGTGTTCTACGGCAAGCAGCTTCTCCACAGTTTCGTGAGAAAGTTTATTTCTATCCTTGGTATGTATGCGAGATTGACAGGAAAACTCCCGTTCAACAGATGCACATGATGATGAAACCGACAATATTCTAACAGCTATTGTTGCAAGATCTGGAACCTCTGAAAAATGCTGGAACATTTTCTACCACGTGACTGGATTGGACGTGTTCTTGGCATCCCAGTATAGACAGGGTTTAAAACGGTCTTCTTTTTGTATATATTTAAAGTATGAAGAAAATATATTTGAACGTAATGCTTCATTTTCTTAAAATCTGTATGCTTTTATATAAAATTCTAAATTCGAAATTGTACCCGACCCCTGAGAGCGACCCGAACAATCCAGTCTTTAAGAATCTTTAAATATTTTTATAACGATAAGTCCAAAACATTTTCTCAACCACCTGTCTGTCAATGTTCAACCCCCACACCTTTCCCCAACGTGCCGGAATAATAAAAATTTTCTGTGAAATTTCCTTCTGAGGGATGGAGGCGCCACGGGTGGCGCTTTTCCGCAACATTTGAGTCGGGGAAATGGAAGCATCCTTAACAGGATCCAGAGTTTTCCCGAGTTTAACTTATTTTATTGCATCAAAAGAACGAAGAAAAGGATGGGAAGCAGGGAGACGGAGATAATATTATATTAATATATCAGAGCGGAGGACGTTGAATATTTATTGAAAGAAGAATTTAAATATGTTTATTATTTATTTGGAAGATTTCGTAATCCAAAAAATGTGAATTTATGTTAAATATACTAAATTTTAGAATATTGGAATGAGGTGGCTTAAGTAAATATGATCTAGGGTCTAAATCCCATTACGATTTCTCCATATAAGTATGATTGGCTACTGACTATTCCTTTGGAAAACGTTCGATGGTTTCCGCTGCTGCCCCCCAACGAAGAAAACCTTTAGAGAAGGAGCCTCTTTATGACCTAGAACAAATTACGTAACTCCCGCCAATTAGCCATTAGCCTTTGCCGCGTATAATTTGCTCGCCGGCCGGACTCGGCGTTATATCGTTTGTTTTAATGATCTTGGAAAGGATGGAAAAAGTGCGTGCCCGCGTTTTACGGCCGCGCCACGCCCACATTCGGCACAGCTCATTTGTTTTTTGCGACGCGGCCGCCGCCATGCCAAGGGTTGCTACCTTCTTAATTACCTTTCCTCCCATAAATGCCTCGGAACGATTTTTTCGCCTTTCTTTATTTGAAATGTAATTACTTTTGCAGCGCACTTAATATGGTTTGTACGATTTTTAATGCATAGATAAGTAAAGGTTGATTCTCACTATACCTTTCAGCTCCCTTCCGTTTCCCTTCCGTTCCACATCCTTTTCTTCCAAACATTTTTTATTTTGCGGACGGACTGAAGCGTATCGGAAACAGCGTTGTCAAATTCTTACACTGAAAAAAAGGATCTCTCAATCGAAATGAATATGACTTTGACCTAAAAGATTGGCGCTTTTCAATAGGGCCAAGAACGACGTTTCTTTACCCAAAGCATTAACTATCTTTTCATAAGCTTTAAAAAATTACTTCAGGGAATAGAATAGGTAAACTATCTGTCCAAAGCATTTCACTCTTGACCCAAAATGAATATGCAAAGAAGTTCTTGCTACAAGAACAATAGTCTCTTTGATTCATGCAAAAATTCTTGATTGAAAAGGGACATTTCTTGATTAAAGAGACACTTTTCTTAAACCAATAGCGAATAATATTGACTCATCTAAAATTTATTTTGATCTAAGAGAAGTCTATACATCATATACAGGCATATTACGAGGTATATTATTATCTGATAAATTTAGGTTTTCCTGGTCTTTAGTTACTACAAAGTAGTATGTAAAGTGATATTATTTTTCTCGATAGTAGTTATTTCTGCTTCTTCACTCCTTGGTGTTACCTCAGGATTAATCAAAGTAATGCAAATAAACTATTAAAATTATAAGCTTTGGTCACATTTTGAATTTTTTGACTTGAAATTCTAAAATTTTTGTAATTATTTGTAGGTGCATTATGTAAATGTCTCTTACCTTCAAATATGTATAGAAAATAAATGCTCTAATTTCCATTTTTTGAGAAACTCCTTTAAAGAATCCATATATCCTAAAATTTGTCCATAAAAAATGACAAATGCATGTTAATAACGATCACTAATTTATTATACGATATGCGTTTAAAAAGCAAATTATGCTAAATTCCAAGTGGAAAATTCCAAGCAACAAAACGCGTGCGTACTATGATGTGCGACCTATGAAATGCGACGTACGACTGATCGGACTGCCGTCTGATTCTATACCGTCCTTCGTCATCGTCTTTGCGTGTCGTTATTATTTTCCATCAAAAGAGTATTTAGCTATTGGAAAAATGGCCATGTTTCTTAAATGTAGTACTTCCTAGCGTATTTTTCTTATTATCTTAAAACAAAGTAACTTCCACTTGGTTGAATGAAACTAGATTCAAGAGAAATTTTCGAATTTTTCAAGAGAACCAGTTTTCTTGAGTTAAGAGAGTTTTTCTTCAGGCAAAATATTTTCTTTTACGCTAAAATAAATTCTCTTGCCACTAAATTTTTTTTTCAAGAACGATGACGACTTTAGTTCAAGTCTGTCTTTTTTATCAGTGTACATTTGTACCAGCTCTGTTAAAATTTTGGTTATATTTTACAATTAATTAAATCTATTACCTTTTTCAAAAGATACAAATTTTTATTTGTAGATAACATTCAAATGTTATTACATACCAAACCACATTCAAATTCTCTGGTTTGTTTAAAAAACGGCTTTACTATACAAAATCACTTGTATGAAATATATGTATACTAAATATTCGTTTTTCTTTGTTTCAGATGCCATGGGTAAGTGGTCTACGTCGGCCAGACATCCGCAGATGTCGTTTTATCGATACTGACGCCCTCTGTCAGGTAAATTGTTCCTAATCGTCTAGCTTGTCTAAATAGTTTGATAAATGACTTAAGAAACCGATAATCGACTTATTTTTGTTCGCTTCTTACTGTTAGTTATGCTAATTTAGATGAAATAAGGTTAGATTCTTAAATATCAACTAAAATTTAGTTTTTTTTGTATTGTTACTACTGAACGAAGATTTGTATTAAATAAAAAATGTTTTTGTTTCAATCTTTATTTTGTTTTTATTTCTAGTATGGTATATTATATTTTTATTCTTTTCTTTCCAGATTTTTGTTGAATGCTAGTTTGTTATTTATTCGATTTTCTTATTGTACAAAATATTAAAAAAAAATATTTATAAATTTTCAAAATCGACAAAGATCCATACGAATAGATAATAATAGTAAGTAACAGAAAATAGAAGAATATACAGGGTGGATCAAATACCCTTTTGTAAAGAAGATAGACGAAAACTAATATCGGTGTCTGGACCTCAATTTTTATCAAAAACATGTTGGTGAAAACTGCTAATCGATATCTGTTACCTTTTCGAGATTACGGGGTGTTTTTCAAAAATGTGCATTTTTAACAAATCGCTGTAACTTTTTTGCTATGGAAAATTTTGTATTTTTATGAAAACATTTCCAAAGCACCTTTTTACGTAGAATTTAATGGTTTAAGTATTTTTTTTTAATTAATAATTTAAGAGTTATCAACAGAACAATTATTTTTTTATTCGGAATACCCTGTATACTTTTATTTAGCTGAAAAGAACTTAACATTACCTTTCCAAAAAAATAAGACACTTGATATTTTGTTATAGTCCTCCTCGAAAAACAGAATTTTTAAAAGTTCGTCACTTTTAACTAGTATAGGCTTTGGACCCCTTATTGATGATCTGTACCTAATGAAATCATATTTTTCAAACAAGACGAGGCTCCTAGACGCCTAGAACGCTGAAGTTATCAGCAAGTTTTTGCAGCCAATTTCGAGAATAACTGAATAGCTAACCAAAATCCCAGCCCTTTCTTGTATATTGAACGGCTAGAGTATATACAGGGTGGTCCGAGCTGTATTCCGGAAACTTCGGCAGCATATTCTGCAGATAAAAATAAGTAAAAAACTTCGTATAAATGTATGTCTTAAATTGCTTAGTTTCGGAGATACAGGGTGTAGAAGTTTCATTTTTATTTTGACTTTTTTCAAATCATTTCTATAAACAAAGTAACGTCAATATTTGGATGAAAATTGGTGTCTGGGAGTTTTTTGACATGATAAATTTGATTTTGATGTCAATATGACTCCTATTTGTAGGGGGCGCCACCTACATGTGTTTTAACTATTTTGAAGCGTAATAAGTGTTCGTCCGTACCTGTATAAAACTACTGAGTGAAAAAATATACATTTCCGTTACTTTTTACGTAAAAAATGTCTCTTGGTAAAAATCGCTACGAGCAACCGTTCTCAAAATATTTAGAATGTAAATAGTCAATACATGTCATTATTGGCAAAAAATAAACAAGTTGAGTAGATAGTTATTTGACTGAAATAATAAATTCGGGCAATTTTTATTTTTTTAAATTAATCCTAAATATTTCTACGAAAAAAATGACGACAAAACAGTTTCTGTTGAGATTTTGGCACAAAAACACTAATAACTATTTAGTCAACATGCTTAATTTATGTCAATGAAGACAGGTATTGATAATTTCGATTCGAAATATCTCGAGAACCATTACTAGTAGCGATTTTTCCTAAGAGACCTTTTTTACGTAAAAAATGTCATAAATGTATATTTTTTTACCCAGTAGTTTTATACAGGTACGGACGAAAAGTTATTACTCTTCAAAACAGTTAAAACACATGTAGGTGGCGCCCCCTACAAATGAAAGTCATATTGACATCAAAATCAAATTTCTCATGTCAAAAAACTCCCAGACACCTACTTTCATTCAAATATTGACGTTACTTCAGAAATGAATTGGAAAAAATCGAAATAAAAATGAAACTTCTACACCCTGTATCTCCGAAACTAAGCATTTTCGGACATACATTTATACGAACTTTTTACTTATTTATATCTGCAGAATATGCTGCCATAGTTTCCGGAATACTGTTCGGACCACCCTGTATAGCTGTACCTTGCTACTCCCAAGGGGTGTAAACGCTGTACACGGGAGATTATTTTTATTAAAAGTAAAGAAAGAAAATTGACTATTCCATTCCAGTTAATACTAATGAATAAATAAAACACACAGGGGCCAAAAAAAATCCAAAAATCTGCACAATTTTCACAGCTGTATTTACGTACATTATTCTATCCCGGATCGATAATAGAAAAAAAAGACCCCACCATAACAGCCTTTTCGACAAGTGACCGTTAGGAAAATTAGATTAATGCCACTACCAGCGTCCATAGAGCCCTGTGCCGAGCGCTAATGCCCTCCATATATCACCGATCGCATCGATGGGACATCGCTTAATTGTGATATACGGTAGATATCGTTGCTTTCCCCCCTCGTGTTCCCCCCTGCGTTTGACCATTTTCTCCACCCTCTAGCCGGTGGAGATATTAACGTTCATTTACATGCGGGACCGGAGAGTCGCGTTTTGAAAAATCGTCGATGTTCGGGCGCGATTTCGTCGAACGTCGGGTCGACATCGTTATCGTGTCGGCAGGTGTCGTACGTCATTATTACGTCATTCGTGCAGGTTTTCACTTGATTGTGTGTTAACAAGGTTTTTTTGGTCAGAAAAACAGGGTTTGTTATTGTATTTTCAAGGTTAGATGGTGATTTTTTAGAATACCGAATTTCAAAGTTTCAAGGTAAATTAATTTTCTCATTATAATTTACCCTAAAATTAATAATAACATTACTATTCTCTTCTTCGATTCGATTTTTTTAATTTTTAATTTGTATATGCTATATCGAGTTTAATAAATTATTATTAGTTTATTGCACTTGTTTTTTATTAATAATTCCTAATGGAAAAATTTACTATGCTCGTAAGTAAGTCGGCACTATTAGTAATTTTGTTACCTTTGTAGCTAAGGGCTTGTTCAAATGGAAATCTATTTATAGTAGTTGGCTGGGAAATGGCTATCAATGACCTTTCATATCAATGACAGCGATCTTCATCATCGATTATACGGTGTAACAAGAGTTACTAATAGTGTCGACTTTTAAATGTACATATAACTAAATAGGTTATGAAATTATTTCATTGTATTAATGATAACGGTTCATTAATACAATGAAATAAATTTCATTGTATTAATGATACGATTCATTAATACAATGAAATGATTTCATTGTATTAATGAAATCTGTTCATTGTACCAATGAATGTGTTCTTCAAATTAATGAACACTGTTCATTGATTTAATGAACTTAAAGTTCATAGAGTTAATAAATTACTTTTCATTGTGCCAATGAAATCGTTCATCGGCTCAAAATTAATGATTTAATTCATTATATTAATGAACTTTTTCATTATCTTTTGGTTCAGTGATGAAACATTGGGAGTAGCAAGGTACCTACAGCTTTTCATGCTAGAGTCGTTCGGTTTACAAGGAAAGTAATGTGGCAACACTACGCTTCAACCACCTATTGTTATATTAAAAATTCAAATTTATCAAATTTTTAGATTAATATACCAAGTTTATAAAAAAACTAATGAATAAAAATTCCTGTTTTCTAACTATAGCCGAACATTCCCAACCGGCATATTATTATAATAGCCATCGATGACGTACGGCGGGTTGTATTATTTATTTTCGAGCGGTGTTTTTATCGTTGTTTCGCTATGGCCTGTTCAATTAACACATTAGAGAGCGAACATAACCGATTAAGCTTTGACCGGTTTATTGCCCCAAGTTATGACAAAACTACGCCATTTAGATAAGAAGCGACGGGACTTGTAGCATTTAATGCGTTTAACGACATTTTGACTTGCTAATTTTCGCATATTTATGTACCGACGCGGAATTCTATGCCTGTTTTTTTTCGTAGACCTTTGTCGTGCAAATTATGTTAAACTGTGTTTTTTATATGACAGAATTTATTGTTTTCCAATACTCTATAATATACCGAAGATAAGAAAACGAGATTTGGTATGTTAGCATATGACATAAGTTAGGATTGATTGACATTATCCAAATGTTTTTGGTCACTTCCTGTTTCACCGGAAACGACTACAACTTTTGATTCTTAAATGGTACCCTCGGTATATTTCTACTTTATTCGATACAAAATGACACTCTGAATAGAATGATATATCATATGTGAACTTTTGACATCTTCACTTAAAAAAATCATATTGTAAATTTCAATCTAGAGTGCCATGGCTGTGTTAAAAACACTAACTTTTCAATCAAGGAACCTTGGAAAAATTGATTTGATACCCAAATCGTATTTTTAGTCATATGTCAATTTTTTCAAATGGAACAAGGGTGGTTCATTAGCCTATTTGGAAAATGCATTTTTTTGTGAATAATTTGGTACCACACACTTGGTATTTCGGGTCAAATTTTCCTTACATTTATGGCCATAGTATTCTAAATTGAAATTTAAAATGCTATTTTTTAACTGAAAATATCAAAAGTTGACACATTATATGTCATTCTATTTAGAAAATATCATTTTCTATCAAATAAAGTGAAAAAATACCGAAAACAATTGAATACATCAATGAATCCTAATTTATGTCTTAGTATTTGACATACCAAATCTGAAAAAAATAATTAAAAAAGTTATAGGGGTGAGCCACTTTCGATATACCGTGCTGGCAACTGTTACTTTTGGGTCGGAATTTACATGTGTGGATGTAAATCGCATAGGGATCTTATTAAGTCGGAGTGAGAGAAATGCGACCGACCGACGCGACGCGCGACGGTGTGCTGTTGCGGCGTTGCCGATACACCTTTCCCTATCAAGTAAACTAAAAT